GTTCTTCTTTCGATTTTCGTTTCTAGTTGTTAATAAATTTGGAGATTGATTTATAATTTGATTATATTTTTGTTGAAATTTGATTAAAGTTTGCTTGTATTTTTGTTGAAATTCGATTAGAGTTTGATTGGTATTGTTTGTTGAAGAGTTATTTTGATTTGGTAAGATCTGTCAGGTTTGAGATTTCAATGAAACCCAGTAGCTCAAATTTCCCCAAGAAAAGAGAAGAAATTGGTGGTTTAAGATTGGTTTTGTAGATGGAGTGGAGATGAGAGAGCATTCATAGAAGAAGAAGAAATGGGTTAAGATCGATTTTGCAGATGGAGTGGAGATGAGAAAGCATTCAGAGAATAAGAAGAAATGGGTTAAGATCAATTTTGTAGAGGGTGAAGATGAGAGACCAGTTTGCAGGCAATTGGGCTCCATTGGAGGTGTTTGGCGTGAAGAAGATTGGTGAGAAGAAGATGACATGTCATAAAAAAAAAAAAAGTCAAAATAAGCGTCTTTTTAAGTTGTGCTTGCCATGTCATAAAAAAAAGTATAAAAAATGCCATGTGACCGAGTTAACGGCCCAAATTGACAGAAGGATTAACGAAGTGCATTTTGTATAGTTAAGGGATCAAAAAAGTGCAAAAAATTGTTGAGGGATCAAAAATGTGCAACTCACTAGAGTTGAGAGACCAAATTTAGCATTTAACCTTCTGTTAATTAATTCGTGTTACTTGGGGTATTAGATCTTGACATCCTAGTTATATCTGCTTTTAAATCTGTGTTCTGGTTGTCATTATTGAAATCTCTTTGTGGGCCTAATTTTTGGAATTCTATTGCTTATTTCATGGTTAACTCTTGTCTCTCAATTTTGACTGCTTGGTTAAATTTGATCTTGATTCGTAGTGAATGTCGTTTTGTTGCAAAATTTTTTGAGGCATTCTACCTTACACTTTTATGTTCCAATATTCTTCCAAGCATTCATATTTTCCATTGATTTTATTCTATTGCAATTCTTGAGATTCTTATATGTCTTTTGATGGGTCTAGCTTTTAACTCTTGTTAATTGCTAAAATCTGTCTCTTGATTTCAGTTACTTTATTAAACATGACCTTAATTATTGGTTAACCTTGTTTTGTGGCAAAATTTTTAAGGCATCCATGCACTTGTTCATTCATTCATGATCCATATATCCATTGGATGCTTATCCGTCTTTGATAGAGTTCAAAGTTTTGTTGTACTCATCTTTAAATCCATGCCATTCTTTGCCAACTCGTGTTGTGTTGGGTTCATAGTGTAACCCCACAATTGTTCTTTTATAGCTTTGGCAGGATTTATTTCTATTCCTTGTGCTTCTCATATCACCCCAGCCTCTAGTAGCTTGTTTTATGGTAAATCTTGTTAAGTGATTAATGTTCTGCTTTTAGGATTAGTTGTGATTTGATATCAAAGTGGCGTAGCAGAAGCATAGTAGGTTATGTTCTGTTCCTAAAGAGTTGGTGAGACATTGTTTTGTCTTGGATTGTGTGAAGCCATTCACCACTTGAGACGACCCTAGATTCAAGTTTTGGGGACAAAACTCCTTTTTAGGAGGGGTGGATGTGATACCCCAAAAATTTCTAGGATAAATACGTGTGAGTTAAGGACTAAATTGTGGAAAAATATTATTCTGGGACTTAATAGCCAAAAGTTTGAAGGTTGAGTGACTTAAAAGATGAAAGAATTTTGGATAAGGATCGGCTGGCATTTTTTTCTTCTTTCGTCTTCTCAGCCCGATTCTGCTCTTCTTCTTCTCCTCC